AATGATGAATCTGCGAAGCATCTCACAACATGGATGAATCTGGAGGGCATTATGCTGAGTGAAATAAGTCAATCACAAAAGGACAAATATTGTATGAGACTACTACTATAAAAACTCATGAAAAGGTTTACACACAAAAAGAAACAATCTTTGATGGTTATGAGGGAGAGGAGGAGTGGAGATGGAAAAACACTAAATAGACAATAGGTAAGTGGTAACTTTGGTGAAGGGTAAGAAAGCACACAGTACTGAGGAAGCCAGCACATCTTGTCCAAGGCAAGGTCATGGAAGCTCCATAGACACATTCAAACTCCCTGGGGGACTGAACTACTTGGCTGAGGGCTGTGGGGCCCATGGTCTCGAGGAACATCTAGCTCAATTGGCATAATATAGTTTATAAAGAAAATGTTCTACATTCTACTTTGGTGAGTAGCTTCTGGAGTCTTTAAAAGCTATGAGCAGCCATCTAAGATACTACACTGGTTTCACCCCATTGGGAGCAAGGGAGAATGAAGAAAACTAAATACACAAGGGAAAGATTAGTCCAAAAGACTAATGGACCACAACTACCACAGCTTCTACCAGACTGAGTCCAGCACAACTAGATGGTGCCTGGCTACCACCACTGACTGCTCTGACAGGGATTACAATAGAGGGTCCCAGACAGAGCTGAAAAAAAAGGCAGAACAAAATTCTAACTCACAAAAAAAGACCAGAGTTACTGGCCTGACAGAGACTGTAGAAAGCCTGAGAATATGGCCCCTGGACACCCTTTTAGCTCACACAAATGTCACAAAAGAATATGTGTACTAATTGTTTAATGAGAAGCTAGTTCTGTAAACCTTCATCTAAAGTACAATAGAATAAGTAAATAAAAGTAGCATTTTGTGTTGTACAAATATGATTACCAGTTACCAATCCAATATCCACCATGGCAAATACTTCCAAATGGAGCACTGTATTCAATTGATCTTACTCAGTTGCTTAATTTTTTAGATATTTATTAAACATTACAGTGAACTTGCAGCCTCAAAGTATTTTTGGTATAAAAGAGGCTATTTTAAAATATATTTATAGAACACTTGTCCTAATGTTAATGCATACGATTTGCTTAAAGTGGTGTTAACTGTCAGTTAGTGTGCAATATCAGTACAGACACAGTTGCTTATGAACAATCGTTCTCTCCTGACTAAGCAGATACCTACAGCAAGAAAAATGACAGACTTGAGTTTCTGTGTAAAGATTGTACGTACCTTAAATAAATTAAATTGTAATTATATTTTTTGTTTCTTTATGTTTAGAATGGAATCCCAGCTCTGATAAATCTTTTGAAGTTAAATATAGAAAGTGTGCTAGTAAATGTAATGAACTGTATACGGGTATTATGTATAGGAAATGAAGACAATCAAAGAGCAGTGAGAGACCACAAAGGCATCAAATATCTTATCACATTTCTGAGTTCTGATTCAGGTGAGCCTAGATTTCTGTATTATTCTAAAGTGGCCAGATATATTAAGTGAGACAAACAAAGGATTGAACTTGTCTCATATGAACAAATGTCCTGGATTTATCTTAGAATGGATCTATACATAAATATGTAATATCACCTAAATATCTGCAACACTTAAACTGTTGGGTTTATGAAAGAGATTGTGCCCAAAGGCATAGTTGCTCGGTTTTTTTTTTTTAAATATGTTCAATTAGGCATGTTTATAAAGAGAAATATTGTCATGAATGATGAAAATAATACAGATGGTATGCCCAGAGGACTAGATGTCACCTTGTATAAATAATACACACATGGATAATTAGAACCTATTTTACGATACAACTACGATTTCAGATTTGCTATTAGATACTTGATATCAAAATTTGAGGTCATCAGAAGGCCTTAGGCGAATTATCAAGTTCAAAAGCACACAGAGCAACTTGCATCAAAGCACCAAGAACATCAGAAGTTATGATGTAGTTTCTGCAGCTACTGCAAATGGACTCTGAGATTCTGTAAGAATTATCTCATTCCAGTGAGCATACATAACAGTGTAAGTTTCAAATCTAGGGTATTCCCCAAATTTTGGGGAGAAAAAATTGGGGAAAAGCTCATCCCTTTTCCTTCTTGCCCAGTTTATCATCTTTCTTTCTGTTCTAGTTCATCAGGAAAAAATACAGAATATATTGTTTAAAATGTAAGAAAATGTTGGGCATACAGAAATGTTGCAGAAGGCTTGCCTTTTTTAAAATCTCACATTTAAGCAATTGTCATATTCTAAGACTCTCTATAATGTAGTGAAATGATTTGAAACCTCCTTCCCTTCATTAAACATTCCTTGAAGGCATCTCTTCCAAGTATCCTCCCATCACTAATTATGCTGTACTTTATCATTTAAGAATATTACTAGAGGTTAGCTTTTATGCATATCTTTACCATATCGTTTTTATATATTTATGGTTCTTTTTGTTTTGTGTGTGTGTGTGTGTGTGTGTGTGTGTGTGTGTGTGTATGCTATCTCCTATTTAAAATTTAAAGATAGGGAGTAGGTCTTCCCCTTCCTTTTTATCCCTCTGTCATGGTTTGAATTATGTCCCCCCAAAAATGTGTGTATCAGGTTGGCTGGGCCATGATTCCCAGAATTGTGTGGTTGGCCTCCACTTTGTGATTATAATTTTATGTTAAAGAGGATTAGGGTAGGATTGTAACACCACCTTTACCCAGGTCACATCCCTGATCCAATGTAAAGGGAGTCTCCCTGGGGTGTGGCCTGCACCACTTTTTATCTCTTAAGAGATAAAAGGAAAGGGAAGCAAGCAGAGAGTTGGGGACCTCATACCATCAAGAAAGCAGTGCTGGGAGCAGAGCACGTCCTTTGGACTGGAGTCCCTGCACTGGGGGAACACTGATGAGAAGGCTGACAGAGAGAAAAAGCTTTTCCCTGGAGCTGATGCCCTGAATTTGGACTTTTAGCTTACTTTGACTGTGAGGAAATAAACTTCTCTTCATTAAAACCAACCACTTGTGGTATTTCTGTTGTAGCAGCAATAGATGACTAAGAATCTCCTAACCCGAAATGCCAGAACAAAGCACATAATAAGTAGAGGCAATTTGAATAAATAAATGATAAATGAGTTCAATGAAACAAAGCTATAAATTATTGGAATCATATTTTTTGGCTCTTGCCTTGTCTGAAACTTAAATAAGAGTAATTTTTCCTACATTGTAATCTATATTATCTCCTCACTACAAAGAAGACATAGAACTTAATTTTGAAATAAATTTTAATTATTTTTCTTCTCTATTCAAGCTCCATTTATAATTTAAGCGCTTTAACGAGTAATTCTAATGGATGTTACCTGGATTGTTAAGTTGTGTGGGGATCAGAAAAGAATTTAATTCCAATATCTTCTTAAGCTTTCTGAACCACATCAAACAAACCCAAACTGAGGAACATTCTTTAAAATAACTAGCCCATATTCATTAAACATGTCTAAGTCATAAAAGACAAGGAAAGACTGAAGAACTGTCACAGTTCTTCATAGGATCATAGGAGACTAAAGACACATGATAACAAAATGTAGTACATGATCCTGGTCTGGATCTTGTACCAGAGGAAGATAAATTTGATAAAGCACTTTATTGGGATAATTAATGAAATTTCATTAGATAAAAGTATTGCATCTACTAACTGCCCTGTAGTTATGTAAGAAAATATCCTGTGTTCTTTGGTGAAGGGTCAGACAGTACACAATACTGGGGAATCTAGGACAACTTGTACAAGGTCAGAAGAACAGAGGAAAAAAAGAAAATATCCTGTTCTTAGAAAATACACACTGAAGTATGAAGGAGATAAAGGGCTGTGTTGCATGTATGCAGCCTAATCTCAAATTCAGAAAAATAAATTTTATAGACAGGTCAAACCCATTGCCGTCAAGTGGATTCCAACTCATAGAAATCCTATAGGACAGAGCAGAACTGCCCCCTAGGGTTTACAAGGCTGTAAATCTTTACGGAAGCAGACTGCCGCATCTTTCTCCCGTGGAGTGGCTGGTAGGTTCGAACCGCTGACCTTTCAGTTAGCAGCCAAATGCTTTAACCACTGCACCACCATGGCTTCTTACAGATAGGTAAATAGATAAAAATCAATATGACAAAAGGTTTAAAATTGGTAAATCCATGTAATATAGTTATTTTCAAATGCTGTTTTGACACAGTTTTGAGGCCCAGCTAGAGGCCAATCAGTTCCTCTTCTTGGGAAGTTGATTAATTCTACACCTCAACCACTTCCCTTACTGGGCTCTCACACTCCAGGGCCAATATACCCTGGGTTCCGATATCAAACAACTAGGGATGGCCCCTATTCCTGTGCCCTAGAGTCTGTGAAAGAATTAAAATTAGTCTAAAGGGAGCCTGTGAAATCTAGTTAACCCTACTTCTCTTGCCATACTTAAGCCACCTACTATGGCTCCACCTTGGCTCTGCTTGAAAGCCTTCTCTGGTTTGTAGCTCTAAATTCTGCTTGTCAGCTATCTGAGTGTCTTTCTGTTGTGTCCCACCATCCAAAGAACCAATAATCCTAAACCACCAGCGGCTCCGCAGGAGAAAGATGTGGCAGTCTGCTTCCACAGAGTTTACAGCCTCGGAAACCCAACGGGGTCACTATGAGTGGAATCGACTCGACGACAGTGGATGGTGGTGGTGGAATATAATTATGAAACAATCACGTAAAGAGTTTATAGGAGTTCTCTTGACTTATTCTTGCAAATTTTTTGTAAGTTGTTAAAAAAAAAAATGCAACTGGTTAAGAAACATATAGGAAAATGTTTAGTCTCCCCAGTAACCAAAATACAAAATAAAATGAGATGCCTTTTTTTTTTCGCCTATCAACATAGCAAGATTTATTTATGTACTTATTTTTAATGATAATACCTATATTCAGGAAGACAGAGTAACATTGATACTCTCATGCTCTGATTATGTAAGGATAAAATGCTATTATTTTTGAAAAGCAATTCAGTGGGATGTATTGGGTTACTCCAATAATTTCTAGGACTCTATCCTAAGGGAGGAAAAATACAGATAGGAAGGAAATACCTTATATACAAAGAAGACATCTCATAAGCATTGTTTAAAAGAATAGAATTTTGAAAACAACGTATATTTTCAAAAACATGAATGGCTAAAGACATGTGATACACTCATTTAACAGAATATTAGGAAGACCTGATGTTCATGAAGAATGGAAAAAATGTTTTAATGCTAAATGAAAATGCTGGATATTGCTTTTATAATAAAACTATGTTAATTATATCTGTAACTATATCTAAACCTATCTATATTCATAAAAAATAGTGGGTGGGATTAAACCAAATGCTTGATTGTGTTTGGGTGGTTGAGAATCTGGACAGCTTTATTTCTTTTTTCTATTTTTCCTTGTTTTCTAAATTTTCTATTAACTTTCTAAACTGAAGGTGCTGAATTTTATTACCTCTCACTTTTTAAAAAATTTTTAAACTCGTTCTTGAATTCATTTGAAGATGTGTTGAAGGCTGTATCTTCTGCTACAATTGCTGAGGTTGCACGTGACAACACAGAGGTGCAGGATGCCCTAGCTATGGAAGGAGTGATTCCTCCTCTGGTGGCTCTATTTAAAGGGAAACAGCTTAGTGTCCAAGTAAAGGGTGCAGTGGCTGTGGAATCACTGGCAAGTTACAACCCTGCTATACAAAAAGCATTTCTGGAAAAGTCATTAACTAAATATCTTTTAAAACTCCTAAAGGTAGGAATTTTATGATTAGTTTTCATTTTTGTAGACAAGTACTCTATTTTCAGATTTTTTTAATTAAATAGAAAATTAAAACCAGTTCTGGAATAAACATTTTATTAAACATACATACCTACAGTGTTCAATAAATGCTCACTGAATTAATGAATTTTTTTAAATAGGCATTTAAAATAGATGTTAAGGAACAAGGAGCTGTAGCACTTTGGGCCTTGGCAGGACAAACATTGAAACAACAGAAGTATATGGCAGAACAGATTGGATACAACTTTATAATAAACATGCTTTTGTCACCATCAGCTAAAATGCAGTATGTTGGTAAGTTATTTTCTATACATAATGTAAACTATGTATAGACAGTGTAAACAGGGAATTGGATTATCAGGAATGTCTTTTTCTTTTCTTTACCAGGAGGTGAAGCAGTCATAGCTCTAAGTAAGGACAGCAGAATGCATCAAAATCAAATATGTGAAGGGAATGGAATTGCACCTTTGGTTCGCTTACTAAGAATTACTAAGGTAGCTGAAGGCACACTTCTGAGTGTCATCAGAGCAGTCGGATCCATTTGTATTGGTTTGTACATTATTCTCAATTTTCTAAATATCAATAAGAAAAAGAAAGTACTTAGGTAGAGAGGTGGAAATTAATCGCTTCCTCTCTATCCCACTGTTAGAGCCCTAAAGAATATTTAATCTAAAATAAACCGGTGGCCATCGAGTCGATACCAACTCATAGTGACCCTGTAGGACAGAGTAGAACTGCCCCATAAGGTTTCCAAGGAGAGGCTGGTGGATTTGAACTGCTGACCTTTTTGTTAGCAGCCATAGCTCTTAACCACTGTGCCACCAGGGCTCCATTCTAGAACAGGCTATTATAACTTTTTGTTTCCCCAAGACTTTGGTGAGTAAAAGTGATGTAATTAAGAATTTATGTAGGTTTTACTCTTGAACTCTGGTTAGAAAGGGAAATGAGGGCAATGAGCCTTGCCTATTTTGACTTAAAGAATCTCATCTTCTAAGCTTAGGAAGAAAATATTTCTTCTGTTGGATCTCAAGAACTACGTATTTTTCAAGATGTAGAAGACAGAGTTTCTAATGTTGCAGTATATTTTTCAGTCTCTTTTTGTAATGGTTCTTTGACTATTTATAAAGTAGCCACTAGGCCTAGTTGTTTTCCTCTAGAAGTTGTATAGTTTTAGCTCTTACACTTAGGTCTATGATCCATTTTTAGTAATATTTTCTATATGGTAAGGATTATTATTATTATTATTATTTTGCATATGGCTATCCAATCACCCCAGCACCATTTATTGAAAATGAATTACCTAGGCACCTTTGTCAAAAATCAATTGACTAGATATGTGTAGATTTATTTCTAGACTCTTTATTCTGTTCCATTTACCTATATATATCTATCTATATGCTATACTCACTGTCTTGATTATAAGTTTATAATAAATCTGAAACCAAGACTTATACTTAAGTCCTTCAACTTTGTTATTCTTTTTCAAAGTTGTTTTTGCTATTGTAGGTCCTTTGCATTTCCGTATAAATTCGTAAATAAGTTTATCAGTTTCTACAAAAAGGCCTTCTGGTATTTTGATTGCATTGAATCTTTAAATATATTTGGGAGAAAACTGATATCCTAACAATATTGAGTCATCATGAACATGGTGTCTCTCTCCACATATTATTTAGATCTTTAATTTCTCTCCACAATGTTTTATAGCTTCCAGTGTTCATTTTTTGCACATCTTTTGTCAAATTTACCCTATGTATTTCAAATTTTTAAATCATGCGTATAAAGTTTTGATTGAATGTGGACATTGTAAGTTTTACACCGATGGGTGCTAGATTTTGTTATTATCTTTTCAAGAGAGTGAGACTCTGCTCTGGTGTGCAACTGTTTCTTAGGATCAGTTTGATCCTTTTGCAGCTAGCTTTTAAGCTTTGTTACAGAAAGTTTGGAGCCCTGGTGGCGCAGTTGTTAAGAGCTCAACTGCTAACCAAGAGGTCGGCAGTTTGAATCCACCAGCCGCTCCCTGGAAACCCTACCGGGCAGTTCTGCTCTGTCCTGTATGGTCACTATAAGTCGTAATCGACTCGATGGTAACAGGTTTTATTTATTTTTTTTACAGCAAGCTTACAGCAGCCTTTACTCTATAACTAACTTAACCCCACTACTAAGGGTGATATCTTTCTGATGTCTCTATCCAATGCCCCTTGTATTATGAGATCTCTGCACTCTGGCTAGTGGGAGCACAAACCATCCCTAGCCTTGTGTGAATTCTGAGAATTGTTTAGCTTACTGCTTGTAGTAGTTCTCGTCCCACCCTCATTAAGTTTTACCCTACACATGTGCAGATGTATCATCATCATCATTAATAATATTCATTTTTTAAAGACCCACCTGTAGCATCTTCACCCTTTAAAATCTCCCTAATATGCCCCTTCACCACTCCGAGATGAGCAATCCCTCTTCTGTGCTTCAAGTGTACTTTTATATACCCCTGTTAAAGCACTTACTGCAATCAAATTGGGTAGCTTATAAGAACATGAATTTTTGTCTCACAGTTCTAGAGGCTAGAAGTCTGAAATCAGAGTGTCGGCAGGTCCATGTTTTCTCTGAAGGCGCTAGGGAAAGATCCTTTCTGGTCTCTCCAAGCTTCTGTTAGCCCCAGATGTTCCTTTTGGTTTGCAGCTGCAGGGTTACATGCAGTTCTTCCCTCTGTGTCTCAGTTCCAAAGAGATGATTTGAATTTATTCATTGCGATTAGCCCTGCATTTTAAGGTATTATATTATAAAGGGAGATAGTAAGCTCATCTTTTTAGTATGTATAAACCCAAAACTAAACCCATCACCACTGAGTCAATTCTGACTCATAGCGACCCTACTGGACAGAGTAGAACTGCCCCATAGGATTTTCAAGGAGCGGCTGGTGGATTTGAACTGCAGACCTTTTGGTTAGCAGCCGAGCTCTTAACCACTGCGCCACCAGGGCTGCTAAGTATGTGTCGTATGTATAATTTAAGGGATCCAGAAATTCCTTTAGCTAGGTGATTTACTCTAAGCATTTTTGTTGAAGTAAACTTTTCATGAATTATTATTCAATAAATCATAACTATCATTATTAATATTCCACATCAGCATAACATTTCTAATATCTTTGTTTTGTGACGATTAGAAAGCCATTCACACTTCTAATTCTTCATATTTATCTTTGCCTTTCCAAAAAATTCCTATTAAAATAGTATCCATACAGCATTTCTTTTTGTAATTTACTAACCATACTTTAAGACATTTTATCAACCAAAAATATCAAGCTATGTTTGACTTTACCATTTACGAGATGGAGAAAGGATGACCTCACTGACGTGTGGACTCTTACAGGTGTCGCCCACACAAGCAATCCCATTAGTCAACAATATGTTGTAGAGGAAAATGCCTTTCCAGTACTTATTCAACTACTAAGAAATCACCCTTCTGCTAACATTAAGGTATGTATAAAAGTTTAATTTTTTTGGATATAGTAAAAATTAATGGAAATATTTTCAAGAATTTTTATCTTTATGCAAGTTCACAAGTATAATAAAAATATTTAATCTTTTAAACAAAATCCCAGATTTTTTAGACAAAAGAGGTTGCTACAAACTAAAAGATGGTAATAAATTTTATTAAAATGTGATTTCTTCAAAGATGACAAGAAAGTCTTATGTCCTTACTCATCAAATAATTTTTATTCCTCAGATATCTGACTGTTTATTCACAGAATTTCTTCCTTTCTTTCTTCAGATATTGATTACTAAAACTAGGGGATAAATGGTATGTGACTTATGTGGCAATATTTCTCAAATATAACTGAATCTTGTCCATGCTACACCTTCAAGGGAGTCTTACCTTCCACAAAGTACCCTGTGTTGGCTCACAGTTATGGTTTTAGCAAGTCTGGACATTATGAAGGATTAATATGAGTCCCCGAAGAGTCATTCATCCTTCTACTTACTTGTAGTAAAATATCTCAAAATATCTTTAATAAAATGACATTCACATCTAATCAAAGCCTTTTATTAAGGGTTTGGTAAATTCAGGATATCCATAGTTGTCCAGGAAGGCAGTTTTAACAACATTTTCCCCTCAAAATTTGGTATAGGCTCTGTGGAGAGGAAGAAATAGAAATAACTTTGGGGGAAATTATGTACGTAAATGCGGCACTGTTTCTTTTAATGTTATCAGAAAAATGTTATAAATTATGCTGCCTTTTGTTGTCAAAGATTATTTTAGCACATGAGTTGCTTAGGGAAACAAAAGGAAGAAGCATATGCAATCTTTTACATTGGACTATAAGCAAAATCTACACTGACTTTCAAAGCAACAGTAAATTCCATAAGACTATGGGAAATGCCACATAAAGATATATTTTTATTTTTAAAACGTGCAGCTTCACAGCAAACACCTTGCTTCAACTGCATCTATATATACATCAGTATATATTGTCAATGACTTCTAAAATTTGTTAAAACAGAGCATAAATACGTTTCAGTATTTTTCGTCAAACTAAGATTCTATAATAAAGTATTTTTGCAATAATTCAATAATCATGCTTTTAAAATTCTTAAGTTTTCATAGAAATGCTTAGTATAGTACTTTGAGAAACTTCCGTTGAATCCCTGTAATAACCAGTGTTCATTTATATCTTCCTAATGGGCGTCAGAATATGCATTAAATGGCTTCAGAACTAGAAGAAGAAAACAAAACTATTCAGTACTACTCCCCAGTGCTCTGCTTAAATTGATAGGCATTCCATTAAAGCCCCATATCTCAATGGTCAGTAGCTAACAACCAGCGCAAAACAGCCTTTTAACCCCTGTCAGAAAAATTTTTTTTATATATTGAAGGGATGTAACTATATACTTAAGATAACACCTCTTTACATGTCCTTCTGACCCTCGTTGCCTTCACCCATGCCCTCATATGTAGCTCTGTGGTTGTACATGCACAAAAGAGGAAGGATATTCCCCTAGTTGTTAAAAATTATAAGGGATATTCCTCCAAAAGTTATAAAGCCACTCTTTAAATACTAGTCAGAGAATTGTAATCACTGGTTTATATTTTAGCAGGTTTTATAGTATTTTTCCACAATGTATCCAATATAAATGTTTATACAATTAAATATGTCATTTGACAAAGCATGAGTGAAAAATAAATTAATTTCTGAAAACCACAAATTTAGGTTGAAGTGGCATTTTCCTTGGCATGCATTGTCCTAAGGAATGATCTGTTACAGAATGAATTACAAGAAGCTGAAGGTTTTAAGTATGATGATGTTCTTTATCTTCTTCACTCACCTGATAAGGTAACGCCTTTATAAAATATAAAATATAGAATAAAATGGTTTTTAGACCACATCCTCAGATTACCATCAAATCTTCTTCATGGTGATATTTAAATGTCTTAAGAAATATAAAACATCTCATTGAAGGTCATTAGTTTGAAACGATGCAATCATAACCCGTTGCCATTGAGTTGATTCTGACTCATAGTGGCCCCCTATGACAGAGTAGAACTGCCCGATAGGGTTTCTGAAGCTATAAATCTTTAAGGAAGCAGACTGCCACATCTTTCTTCCACAGAGCTGCTAGTGGGTTCAAACGGCCAACCTTTTGGTTAGCACCCGAGCACTTAACCACTGCTGCACCAGGGTTCCACTGATGCAATAATACTGCTCCATATTTTTCATGGAGTCCCTAGGTGGTGCAAACAGTTAATGTGCTCAGTTGCTAACTGCAAGTTTGGCAGTTCAAGACCACTTGTAGCACCCTGAAGAAAGGCCTGGCAGTCTACTTCCAAAAAATCAGCCACTGAAAACTCTATGGAGTGCAGTTCTAGTCTGACACACATGGGGTCGCCTTGAGTCAGAATCAACTCGATGGCAACTGGTATATTTTTCATGGTTGTCCCATTTCATCTGTAAAATGCAACAATATTAATTGTTAAAGAGCCATAAAGCAAATCTCTTCTGTCCTGGATGCATCAAATCTTTAACCTAATTTTATGCCCTTTCAATCCTCAACCATCCACTTTTCACCCTATATCCTAGAGTGCAGCTTCTCAAACTATTTGTGATGAAAGAATAGTTTGTTTTTTCCCCTCTCAATTTGCTATGGGGAGATATTTAAAAAATAAAAGGCACTTTTTTATTTTGGAATAATTTTAGACTTTCCAAAAATTTGCAAAAATAGTACAGAGTTCCGGTATATACTTTATCCAGCTTTCTCAAATATCAACCTGGAAATTAACATTGATACAATACTATTAACTAACTACAGAACTTATTTAAATTTTACCCGTTTGCTCAGAATCCCACATTACATTTAGTTGTCATGTCTCCTTAGCCTCCTTCAATCTGTGAAGTTCAGTCCTTCTTTGTCTTTCATAATTTTGACATGTTCAATAAGTCAAGGCCAGTTATTTTCTTGAATGTCCCTCAGTTTGACTTTATTTGATATTTTCTCATGATTAAATTGAAGTTATGCGTTTTTGGCAAGAATACCACAGAAACGATGTTTTTCCCGTCCTACTGCATTATATCAGTGGATCCATGATGTTGATGTGTCTGTCTTAGTACTTGTAATGTTAACTTTGATTACTTGGTTAAGGTGGTGTCTGTCATATTTCTCCACTATAAAGGTATCATTTTTCCCTTTGTAGTTAACAAGTATCTTGAGAGGAGACACTTTTAGGCTATGCAAATATTCTGTTATGCATCATACTCTTGCCCACCAATTTCAGCATCCATTGATGCCTGTAACAATTATTACTGTGGTGTTCTTGCCTAATGGTGATTTTTAAATTTCCTTTCTTCCTTCTACATTTATTGTTATTCAACTGTATGGAAGTGCTGTCCCTTTTAAATGCTTATTCTGTTTCTATTATCCTGTCATCGATCATTCTGTGGACTGCTACTGCTCCATATGCAACATTTAGAATAGCACCACTCTAAAGCAACTCAGGAGGCTTTGTTGTCTTCAGTGCATTTAGCAATCAGGGAAGAAAATTCTCAGCTATGTCTCTTCAAGTTTTGGGAGATTTTAGAGGGGGAAAGAAGCGTTGTCATGAGAAGAAACAAAGTCATTGTGTTATTATTTTTTATATAGGATTTTACTTTAATGGGGTACACAAAGAGACTGAGAAATGTTGCTGTAATAATAAAGGAAATAATAGGGTGAGAAGACTGAATTCACATCTGATTAGCTCTCTAAGCCACCTTTTTCCCCCTCTCTACTCTGTTCCTTCCACATTTTACTCTCATAACCCTATGACATACACCTTTCTTTTCTTCAACCACACATTCTTCCACTCTCAACTATTCTCCGTTCCCTCCTAGTCTGTTACCGCCTGCTTTACTCTCTGGACCCTATGTTTGGCACATACCTTCTTGTGAATAAGTTCTACAGATGTAGACAGTCTTAAAGAACTAGAAGCCTTAAGGATGAACCAAAGGGTTTATCTGGTCTTGGCCAAAATTTTCAGTTCTAAGAATCATCAAAATGGTGAAATTTGAGTTAAAAGTCTTCTAGGATTTCTTATATACTATATCAAGTTTGTCCCAAAATAGCTTGTCCCATAAGGGTACATCAGTACCCTTCAGGCTGCAGAGGAAGTACTGAGCCTGCTGTAGTCCTTAATTGAATCTATACTGGGAGACTTCAGCTAACACAGACCTATTTCAGAAATTAGAGGGGTGGGGAGGGATGTTCAGCAATTAAATATGTCACTGAATGAATAGCTACCTTATAGATGACAGGAATGGGATAAAAATTAAGTAAATTAATCCAGATTTCTAAAACTTCTAACCACACTGATCTTGTCTAAAAAAAGATATAACAGGTTATGTGTTACTTTTTAAAATTCTAATTTAATTATCATACTATAAGACTAGAATGAATTACGTAAAATAGAGTAGTGGGAATGATTTTCACAAGCCAGATAAAATTAGTCTTACTATTTTAGAGTCACTGTTATTCTACTCTTATTTAATTAAAAATCTATAACCTAATTAATTATAAATGTACTTTTAAAGAGATTTTAGTAAGCATAAATAATGTGTACTCTTCTCTTATTTATAAATCGTACTGAGTTTAAAGGGAAAATAAGCAACCAGTGGATATAACCACCATGGTAGGTGAGTAAATCGATGGATATATGAAGTAGACAGTTGACATTTAGGAAAAAATGGGTGGAAAAATATGTCCTTCCGCAAGGATTAATTTTTAGCCCTCTGGACTGGGAGTAAGCAGATCTGATTCTAGTCCTGTATCTGATACTAGCTGGTGGGAGTACTCAAGCTGTGGGATTCATTTTGAAATAGAACCAGCCACTGTACAAACTTATTTATTATAGATGTCCATAGCAATCATGCAGGAGCAAAACCTACATGGAAAACAAGTAGAAATGGGTGAGAGAGTGCTAACACACCTCTTCCACTTCTCTCTACCTCACCTTGACACACAAGGTGCCTTCCTTTGATCTGTTTTCGTTTACTATTTTTTTTTTTACTTGGCTCAAGGCTTTATTCTGCTATCAGTCAAACTCACCCTTTGTCCATGACTGAGACCTAGTTCCCTCTGCCTTCAACTGTACCTAATATCTTTTTTCCTTCTCCATGGCCAACGGCTACTTTGTATAACAAGAGTTAAAGTTAAAGATTAGAGAAGGTAAGGGGCCCAGAAACTCAGAGATCCTGGGACTCTGAGTACCCACTGGCGAGTGGGGAGTGGTGGGCAGAGTGCAAAGACCTGTACACAACATAATGATCCTCTGAGGGTGAACAGCAGGATTTTTCTGGCTCAGTATTGTGATGATATTGCAACAAAACAATCTACCTGGTCTTCAGATCCAATTCAACTTTGTCCCCAGCACTTCCTAGAACATTCCTTTGACTCACTTCATCTCCTGTTTGGTCCTTACACTTAGTTTCAGGTATTTACCCAGTAGTCAGTTTAGGACGTAGTTGTTCTCTAATTACTAACTACTGTGAAAACATGCCTTCATCACTTTGAAACTTTTAAAAATGCCACTAGAAAGATTTTGTCCTAGGGTAGATGGGTAAGATTTCCATTTTCTTTCTTTCTTAGAGTTTCTGAGATGGAGTGTGATTCTTAGAATTCCACCTGAACAGTCTATTCCCAATCAAAACGTTTGTCTGTGGGTATATGAAGAAAGCAGCTGAGTAAAATTCACAACTTTATTACTAAATCTGAGTTGGGGCAAAAGTATACCCTTTTTTGAAATGCCATTTATACACACACACACATGCCTTTATGTGTGTAATTTTTATTATGAGGTGGATAAGATAATGCATGTTTCTCCTATTTCTAGGATATTTGTTTAAGAGCAGGCTATGCATTAACCCTTTTTGCCTTCAATAATCGCTTTCAACAATACCTAATACTGGAAAGTGGAACAATTACAATATCTATTTTTGAACCTTTTCTTGAATCAACAGTTGAAACTGAGAAGGCAATGGCAGCATTTCAGGTATAAAATCAGATGTTAAAACTTCAAATTGATAAGTAAGTCTTTTTAGTGAAAACTGAAAAATTACAAAAATTTGGGGGTCTAGAAACATGTTTACTGATTTGCAAAATTCACATGTATTTTTGACACCCACCCTTCCACCTCATAAAAACTCCATTAGTGATAAGGATTTCTTCATTTATATACAATTTTACAAGTTACAAGACAGTTTTGCCTTTATATCTCATTTGATGCTTGTAACAACTCTGTGAAGTTGATAGGTAGGTAGTTTATTTTCATCACCCCCCATATTACAAAGAAATAGGTAGAGAAACATTTTAGTATTTAAGACAGGTTTTCTAACTGCAGATTTTTAGCTGAGTATACTGGTACTTTAACCTTGTAACAAATATATGTTCTGGGTTCTTCTTAGTCTTAAGTATCTCTCTCTTCTTTTTTCTATCCTATGCCCTTTAGGAGAAATATTTTCTATGAACCCAATACTTCAAAGGTGCAAAAGTTGCATACATTATAGGAAGAATATGGCCTACTATGGCCATTGCAATGACCGGATAGGGACAAGTATTTTAAGTCCCATCACTAGTCACTTACTTCTATTGAATCCCACCAAATACCCTCCAGAGAAGTATAACAACAACGTTATTAAAGCTTAATTGGAGAAGCTGAGTAGAAGATATTCAATGATTCTATGCATTTTTTTTCAGATTATCATATTAGCTAAAGTCATTATAGATGTGGACCATATTGCTTTATCTGCAAGAGGTGTTAATATTTTAGTTGATAGTCTATATTCAAATCAGGCCAGTACTATTGTCTTGACAGGTAAGGAATAACTAAAAGCTAATTGTATCCATATAAAACTATTTTTTTAAAAGTATTTTTTTTGTAATCTAAGCAATAATAAAACAATATAAGCCTGTACTCTATCATGTGATTTGAAGAATGAACTCATGTAAGCATTTGCAGAGTAAGTCTATATGGAACAATGGGAGCCTACTCTGTACCCTGAATAGGAGCAGAGTAACTCTGAACATAGCGTTTTTGTTTTCCTAACTACTTTTTTGAACCCCTATTTTTCTAGGATATAAAATGACAATTCAACTGTGAACTACCAACAACAGAATTAGCATATTGATTTTATTCATTCAATAGTGGTGGCAGATTTATACTTACTTACTTCTGTCCAATTTCCTTTTGACCAATTGTACACATTTTGCTAAAAGTAAGAGTTCTCTATGTTGCTGTGGAACGTAACAAAGTAAAATTGTCCAACGGAGTTCCTGACACACAATGTTCACTTTTAAATACATTAATTCCAGACCTAACCCTCTAGCTAGCACATAATAGGTAATCAATAATATGTTAACTGACTCGATTTATCACTCTCCAAGAAGCATAAAATAATGCCAGAACCACAGCCATCCTACTACTGCCAAAAAATAAGATATTGTTTGCTTGCTTGTTTTTCAACTGAAATGGATCACTGGAGGCAACAAAGGAAACTCCTTGCTGCTGCAGAATTACATATTTATGGAATATATTTATTTGACATGAAAGAAAAAATTAAGCAAATAAAAACTTCTGGTGGAAACTAGCTAGGAAAAAAAAAAATCTTATGCTTAAAAAATGATTAATATATTTCCCTCTGAACTACATCCTACAATACATACAATTGCAGTGGATTTAAATTTTACTCTACTAACTCTTGTATGCCAAATACCATATTCTACTAGTTTACAAACATTAAATTAATTTCCCCATGCTGGTGGGAATTAAATCTCAAAAATTACTGGGGCTTTCTCTGCCCTCCTCCACCTCCAGAGTCATATGCATCTCCAGCATCATACACATCTCTGGGTTATCTCAGGCTAAGTGGGACATTCAGGCCTAGGGAATACTGTGAAATAACTGATGTGCTCATTGTCCAGGTCAACATGGTTCCCAGAAGGGGCTCCAAAAGCACAGACGTTTTGCAGACTGAGGATTCTGCTGCAGACTGGAATTCTGGGTCCAGTTTTCTTATGTGCACCACCTAGCCATTCCTCTCTCAAGGCTCCTGCTCCTACTCCTTTGAGGACTATAAACCACTGTCTGTTCCTTTGTCTTAGATTCTTAGTCTTAGTCTTAGACTCCCTTTTCCATGCCCCTAGCTGGGTCACCTTATTATTTTCCATCCCAAAACATTTCTTCTTATGGTAAGAACTTCAATGATTTTAAACTTCAGTAAGCAATACATTGTTTGATTTTTAAATCAAGTTATTTGAACTGCAGAAAGGACATATTAAATTTTCTTACAGCAGTTCAATCATCATGTTCGGAGTCAGAAAAAAAACTAAAAACCTCAGAACAAATTATCTCCTGACTCCATGGGACAAAGAAAACCTCTGACTTTTCACTCCTATATAAACCTATTTAATTTTTACTCGTTATGATAGAAGACCAAACCATAATTTTGGGGAAAGTTTATTTTATATTTAATATATACATGCTTTTTCTAAGCACATCATTAACAGAGATGGCTTGTGACCCAAATTTTTAATAATATGTACAAATAAACAAAGCACAGTATATCACTTTACACCAATTTGATTAACATAAGCATTGTTTTCTTGTTGTTTTATTTACAGGGAATTTAATAGCTAGCTTGGCTCATTCTAGAGCTGGTATTCCAGAAGCATTTACCACATTAGGGACAGTCCAACGACTGTGCCACCATTTGTACTCAGAAAAAGAAGAGGTAAAAACAAAGAAAACTAAATTTAATATGCTAAAAATATAATTTGCCTCTCTTTCACTTCTGTTGGCTAAGTTCTTCACAGGTTGGTTGTATTATATAGTCCATGTTACTGACTCAAAATTACATGATTTTTCTAGTACTTATTAGTTATGTCTACCATCCACAATTCTGGCTTCCACAAAAAGTACACATTTGTTTTATCTTCAAGAGTTCCAATTAGGATTTAATTACAAAAGCAGGATAATACAACTGTAACTAAAGTTTAAAAAAGAAATGCCCGTTCAAATAGTCTTCAATTTAAAAAGACAAAGAAAACTCTACTAATACAGTCATTTATAATGTTGGAATTAGATTCAATCTACAAATAAGTACATTGGTTATACAGAAATTTTGGACTGAATGAAAGTAGAATTCATAGCACAGTTTTTCTTATCTGTCCTGCAGGGCTAGAGGTGAGGGTATGAGAAGGAGGCTATGCTGGCCTAACAGTGGTTTGCCTCTGAGTTTTCCCTAAGATCTAAGACAGTGTTTCTCAAACTTTTGGGGACATCAGAATCACTTGGAGGGCCTGTTAAGCTACAGATTGCTGGGCATCATTCCCAGAGTTTTTGATCCAGGACACCTGAGGTGGGCCCTAGAATTTATATTTTTAACAAGTTCCCAGGTGATGCTGAAGCTGCTGGTCCAGGGACCACACACTGAGAACCACTAGTCTAAGGCATGGATGATATAAGGGTATATACAATAGCTGGATGCCAGTGTAAAGACCAATATGTTAACCCTCTGGTACCCTGCCACGGGCTTGATTTATGTGTATTGTATGGGCTTTTTTATGCAACCAACTATCAAATTACCTAAGAACTTCCTATGAACAACTTGATTACTTCAGGGTTCCAGGCATAGGGTATTGCCTTCAAAGAGAAAAAGAACTACTTTTTCTTGAGTCCTGTGGCCTGATACTTGAGCTTCTTTGTTTTTGCCAGTGGAAATCTGAGTTGCTTTCCTTATTTTTAATCAAATTTTATTCTATAGTTTGTTCCCTTAGCCCAATAGTTTGCAACCATGGTTTCCTATTACAATCATCTGGGTAGTTTTGAAAAATTCCCATGCCCAGGCTGCACCCTAGAATAATTAAATCAGAATTTACAGGGATGGGGCCCAGGCATAAGTAATTTTCAAAGCTATTTAAGTAATTCCAGTGCACTGCCAAGATTGAGATACGCTACCTTAGTTTCATACAGGCCTTCGAACCCCTGCTAAGAATTTGCATTCCCACCCCAGATATACTGAATTAGAATCTACATTTTAACAAGATCCCCAAGTGATTCTTATGTATAACTTCGGGGAACTCAGCATAAGTTCGAATTCAAATGAACCAGTTTGAAGCCCTGGTTTCATATAACTCATTGGTTCTCACTCTGGTTGCATATTAGAATCATCTGTGGCACTTAAAGAAAAAAAAACAGAGATGGCCAGATTCTATCCCGAGAGATTCTGATTTAGTTGAGTGGAGTCTGGGCATTTTTTTTTAACTGGCCAGGTGATTTTAAAATGCAGCTGGGATTGAAAACAACTACTAAAAATTAATGGCAGTTAATAGTTCTCTCTAGAGATAATGGCTCTTATGCTTCCACCTATAGTGGATTGCCATCGACTATACATATTTGTTGTATCTACATAACTCCAGAGACTTTCCAATGAAGTTATCTATTGAGAATGCTGGGTTGAACATTTTAAGAACAAAGCCCGATAGTTAAGAAAGAATTGCTTCTTCTTCTTTTAGGTTCGCACAGCTTGCTCCTGTGCTCTCGGCTACTTAACTTACAATGCAAATGCTTTCCGCATCCTGCTAAAGGAATGCAGGAATAAGCCTAATCAGTTCATTCGTATAAGAAATAACATCAGCAGAGATGCAAGTATTAACCCCGCATTTTTAAAGGAATTTCAGATGCAACAAAAAGTGGGACTTCCTTCCTTAAGGTATTGTGCCTGTATCTGAAGTTGCTGTAGTGAAATTAGCGACAGTCAGAAGAGCTTTTATATAAGAGCAAACAAGGGGAACTATCCTTGATATGAATATATGCCTTGCATAGCAGAGGATAAACTTCATTCTAAATGTCCACTACCAAAACCTGTTTTTATTCCAACTCAGTATTAGAAGTATGGGTAGAGAAAGAATACAACTAGATTATGGGGATCCTATCTAGCCAAGATTATTCACATTTCATAAAAGTTTTCAGGAGACTGGTTGTCTCCAAGTATGATCAAGGAATCCATTTTTTGGGTAGACTGTGGTACATTTGAGAGTTCTGAGCCAACTAGGGGTGCTGCCGTGACTCTGGCGTCAAACAGTTTCTCTGGAATTGATCCAAAGCTAGGCCAAGCTTCCAGACTGGAAACAGAGCTGACTAACACGAAGTTATTGGAGGTATGATGAAGTTTGCCAGGCATTTACTGAGTATTTTGCCACAATGTTGTACTTGCATCCTGAACTTAAGTCTCTGAAAAAAGGGGGGAGAGGAGAATTTCCTTACAATGGGCATATTTTCTCTTCTTCTGTAGATGTAACTGAATTACATACAGCAAGTCTTCCTGCAAGTAGCGACAGTTATATATAGGAAATAGAACTAGGAGGCAAGAATGTGTTAGAAACAGTTTCGCTGTATACTCAAGATAAATTAACACTATGATAATAGAAGAGAATAGAATCCAATAGTGTATCATGGTAATATAAATCAATATTAAGTATAGAGAAAGACGAGTATATCTTTAGAGTCACTTTAATTTTAATTCTTTGAAAAACTAAAAAATCAAAACTGATTACATAATTTTATATGATAAGCCAGGGAATCTAAATTATAATTGCTATAATTGACAATGTTAAAAAAAAAAAATCACTGGTTCAAAAAAGGATTAATGACCTAAGTATAAGAGATAAGCCATAAATTTAGAAGAAAACTTAGGGGTAAATCTTTAGGACCTTATATTTGACAATGGACTCTTTGATATGATACTATAATCATGAGAAACAAAAGAAAAAATAAACTGGATTTCATCAAAATAATAATGTACATCAGAGGACTGTATCAAAAAACTGAAGAAGAAAAAAAAGCCTACAGAATGGGAGAAAATATTTGGAAATCATATATCTGATAAGGGTTTAATATCCAGAATATATAAAGAACTCCCGCAACTCACCAACAAAAAGACAACCCAGTTAAAGAAAACAGGCAAAGAACTTGAACAGACATTTCACCAAAGAAGCGATACAAATGGCCAGTAAGCACATGAAAACACAGTGAATATCATTAGTCATTACAGAAACGCAAATCAAAACAATGAGATACCACTTCACACTAGGACACTAGGATGGCTACTATATACATACATATATATATATATATGTTTAACAAAAGGGAAAATAACCAGTGTTGGCAAGGATGCAGAAAAAATGGAACACTTGCTCATTGCTGGTGGGAATGTAAAATGGTGTAGTCACTGTGAAAAACAGCTTGATGGTTCCTCAAAAAGTTCAATACAGAACTATCATAACTAAAAACTAAACCAAATCCATTGTTGTCTAGCTGATTCCAACTCATAGCGACCCTATAGGACAGAGTAGAACCTCCCCATAGGGGTTCCAAGGAGTGGCAGGTGGATTCGAACTGCCAACCTTTTTTGGTTAGCAGCTGTTGCTCTTAACCACTGTGCCACCAGGGCTCCAGAACTGCCATATGACCCAGCAATTCCACTCCTAAATATATACCCAAAAGAACTGAAAGCAGGGACTCAGACATATACTTGTACATCAATGTTCACTGCAGCATTATTCAGAAACAACCCAAATGTGTTCATCAACAGATGAATGGATAAACAAAATGTGGTACGTAATACAATGGAATATTATTCAGCCATGAAGGGAGATGAAGTTCTGATACATGCTACAACATGGATGAACCCTGAAAACATTATGCTAAGTAAGTCAGATACAAAGGCCAACTATTGTATAATCCCACTTACATGAAATATCTAGAATAGGCAAATGGATAGAGGCAGAAACTAGATTTGAGAGGGGATTGAGGAGTTATTGCTTAATGGGTACTGAGTTTCTGTTTGGGGTGATGAGAAAGTTTTAAAAATAAACAGTGGTGATGGTTATGCAACATTGTAAATATAATTAATGCCACTCAACTGTAGACTTTAAAATGGTTAAAATGGTAAATTTTATATTATATATATATTTTACTACAATTAAAAAAAGGAAAATACATATACACACACACCTTAAAGCGTTACATAAGTGAAATTTTTAGAAAGTAGGCTATAATCTTTCCTTACATTTTGAAAAAAAAAATTACTTTAGAACAAATAATCGAACTAGTATTATACACAATCACCCCCATGGCTAGTGCATAAGGGAATTTGTGGGAATTAGAAAAAGGTAACCCTTCTTCAGAACACTTTACTGCCATCTGCTGGAGAATGGTCGTAGTAACTATCTGAGGTGAATGGCAGTCCCTGGCGTTGCGAACACTCAACCTGCAGAATTATCAGCAATGCCCAGTAGGTAGTTAGTAAACCTGTAAGAACTGTTACTAAGTGAGGTTTAACTCATAAGAAAAAAATTACTACTACAAATAACAGTGCTATGCACTCTCCTTAGAGCATTTATATGGACTATTTTCCGTAATCTTCATAACAATCCTATGAGGAAGTTTGGTTTAAGTAAAATAAAGGAACATGGATAAGAAAGATTATTAAGGCAAGGCTTTGGGTCTTTATGATGGATAACCATATCCTTCTACAAAATATTCCTTGTTGTCACTACCGGAAACAGCAGAATGTGGCTAGGATTGTGATAGCATTTTTTTGGGGACGTATATCACTTCTCTATCCCCATGCCCCATCCTACTCCAAGAATGGCAGGTTAGTGAAGTTTCTTTAGATGTATAAATTTTGAAGTATATAAAGAGACAGGATTTACCAGTGGTAAGTGATCCCTCATAAAGAGAATCTAAGCCTAACACCTGCTAGTTTTAACATTACTCTCCAGCTATGACACTGGCATATGAACAGACTGAGGGTACACAATCTTGTTGTTGTTGTTAGGTGCCATTGAGTTGGTTCCGACTCATAGTGACCCTATGTACAACAGAATGAAACACATCCTGGTCCTGTGCCATCCTGCAATCTTTGCTATGCTTGAGGCCATTGCTGCAGCCACTGTGTCAATCCATCTTGTTGAGAGTCATCCTATTTTTCGCTGACCCTCTACTTTACCAAGCAGGATGTATTTCTCCAGGGAGTGGTCCCTCCTGATAACATGTCCAAAGCATATCCTCACTTCTAAGGAGCATTCTGGCTGTACTCCTTCCAAGACAGGTTTGTTTGTTTTTCTGGCAGTCCATGGTATATTCAATATTCTTCGTCAACACCATAATTCAAAGGCATCAATTCTTTTTCAGTCTTACTTATTCATTGTCCAGCTTTTGCATGCATTTGAGGTGACTGAAAATACCATGGCTTAGGTCAGGTGCACCTGAGCCCTCAAAGTAACATCTCTGCTTATTAACACTTCAAAGAGGTCTTTTGCAGCAGATTTGCCCAAGGCAATATGTCATTTGATTTCCTGACCGCTGCTTCGATAAGCATTGATTGTGGATCCAAGTAAAATGAAATCTTTGACAACTTCCATCCTTTCTCTGTTTATCACGATGTTGCTTACTGGTCCAGTTGTGAGGATTTTTGTTTTCTTTGGGTTGAGGTGTAATCCATACTGAAGGCTGTAGTCTTTGATCTTCATCAGTAAATGCTTCAAGTCCTCTTCACACAAGCAATGTTGTGTCATCTGCATATCGCAAGTTGTTAATGAGTCTTCCTCCAATCCTGAAGCCTCGTTCTTCTTCATATAGTCCAGCTTCTCAGATTATCTGCTCAGCATACAGACTGAATAGGTATGGGTGAAAGGATACAACCCTGACTCACACCTTTCTTGACTTTAAACCACACAGTATCCCCTCGTTCTGTTCCAACGACTGCCTCTTGAGCTATGTACAGATTCCACGTGAGCACAATGGTTCTGGAATTCCCATTCTTCGCAATGTTAGCCATAATTTGCTATGATCCACACAGTTGAATGCCTTTGCATAGTCAATAAAACACAAGTAAACACCTTTCTAGTATTCTCTGCTTTCAGCCAAGATCTGTCTGACATCAGCAATGATATCCTTTGTTCCACGTCCTCTTCTGAATTCAGCTTGAATTTCTGGCAGTTCCTTGATGTACTGCTGCAACCACTTTTGAGTGATCTTCACCAAAATTTTACTTGTGTGTGATATTAATGATATTGTTCGATAATTTCCACATTCTGTTGGATTACCTTTCTTTGGAATGGGCACAAATATGGATCTCTTCCAGTTGGTTGCCCAGGTAGCTGTCTTCCAAATTTCTTGGCACAGATGAGTGAGCACCTCCAGCACTACGTTCCTTTGTTGAAACACCTTGACTGGTATTTCCATCAATTCCTGGAGCCTTGTTTTTTGCCAATGACCCCAGTGCAGCTTGGACTTCTTTCTTCACTACCATCAGTTCTTGATCATATGCTACCTCCTGAAATGGCTGAACATCAACCAACTCTTTTTGGTACAGTGATTCTGTGTACTCCTTCCATCTGCTTTTGATACTTCCTGCGTCATTCAATATTTTGCCCATAGAATCCTTCAAAATTGCAACTCGAGGCTTGAATTCTTTTTCTTCAGTTCTTTCAGCTTAAGAAATGCTTAGCGTGTTCTTCCCTTTTGGTTTTCTAACTCCAAGTTTTTGCATATCCCATTATAATAAGCACAGGGTTTCCATAATACTTCTTACAGGTGGTAAATTGAGGCCTGTGCATCATTAAGGTTGATAACAGCAACTGTTCCTTACCTAATTGCCAGGAATAAATTTACGACCACTTTCAATATAACGACTTTAATCAAGTC